GGCCAGATGTAACAAGGAACAAAGTTACTTCTGATAAGAAGGCAAGCTGTATACTTACAATATTGTGGATGAAAGAATCTGAAGAATCATCAATAATATCACACCATAGACCTGAAAGACGAATGAAGACGATATAAGAATCTAACACCAGAACAATTCAGCAGCTGAACTTTGAAGAACAACACTGCTCAAAGTTTGAAACCTGGACGCCTCCAGAGATAGACACTGCAGATTGGAATTATAGCTAAATTTCACCATTAATCGGTTAATATCCAAGTTGATTTTCAAGCCTTAACTTGGTTATTTGAAGGGTCTTATTTTGGTTGCTACATGCAATAAAGTTTAAATAATTGTTTCAGTACTTGATTCTTAATAAGTAGCCAAATTAAAGGTAGCTCATGATGATTTACCCATAATACTGAGACCTAAAATTATCCTATTCGTTTATTTTATTTAAACAAGGGATGTGGTCATTGCTGGCCTTGCCAGCATTTATTACCCATCCTATTGTCATGGAGAAGGTGGTGGTGACCGATCTTCTTGAACCACTGTAGTCTTTGGAGAACTTGTAGGAACACCCACAGTGCTGTTAGGAAGGAATTTCTAGAATTTTGACCCAGAGACACTAAAGGAATGGTGATATAGTTCCAAGTTAGGATGGTGTGTAACTTGGAAGAGAACCTGCAGATGTTGGTGTTCCCAATGTTTTCCACATTTAATTACATATAGATCTCTCAGTATGCTCTAACTTCTTTCTTATTTTAATTATATTGAAGATTTTTTAAGCATCATATTTTGAATCCCCCTTTCCACTTTTAACTTATCTAATCTCTAGTCAAGCCTAAACCTTCTTGACCTGCTCTTGAACAATATTTATTCAGCTCATTAGTCACATTTTTATTAATTTGTTTTCCAATACCCTTTCTCATTTCCCAGTAAATTTATTTTGGAACATTGTTGTTGACTTTTCCTTTGCTACAGTTAGATAAATTTACACAGAATGTTCTGCTTCCTGAGGGAGGTCTGTTTATCCTTGGCAAGTTTTGTTCTTGAATGTTTGTCCCCATTTGTTTTTGCTAAGCTTGACCCTAATGCCCCAGGAGTTTGTCTACCTGAAGTTACGCACACTGAGATTTAATTAATTGCCTCTACTCTTTCTCAATTCAAATTCGAGTTGATGCTGTCATGGACACCTCGTACTCCAGCTATGTTTACTGTATGAATAGTAACTGCGTCATTCGCAAAAACAACGTCCAGAAGTGAACTTCTTGTTTTGTGCCTCTGACATACTTGAGGAAATTTTCATGCTTTGACCCTTACCTGCCAGACGTGTGTACCAGGCAACAATGTGTATGCTGCCCATGATATTTTCATTTATCAAAATTAATTTGTGAGAAATGAAGGGCCTGTGATTTCCTGAACTGGCCACTTGCCCATAACTCATCAACTGTTAACTTTAATGAGGGATGGGTTTGGGTAGGCAACCAACCAGCTCAACTCCCAGAAGATGGGATGGCCCTTTAAATATTAAATTAAGGCTGTGAGCCTCTTTAGAAAAATCCGCATTTCAGGTTTAATCCTGACCAGCTGTGTTTTGAACCTTGAAAAACCCTACAGCTAAAAGAATCTGTTGACTTATTTCTCAGCAAGGTAAACGCCTTTTTAACATTTCTTTTGGGCCAAGAAGAGAGGAAGTGCTTCCTCCCAGCCCATGATGTTTACCTTATTCCATTTAACTCCCTCCTTCATGATTGGACACATGCAGTGTAAAAAATCTCCCGTACTCAGAATCCACACTTCAGATGAGAAATCAAATATCCCTAAAACCAGTGACCACCGCTCTCCACCCCTATGATCAGACATTTGCCCTGAGATCAGATAGATCTCTCTGGGATTGGTAGCCCCTCCATGGGACCTGAGCCCATTGGAATCAGCTTCCACAACCCCACACTCCAGGCCTCAATGCCAACAAGGGCTCTCACTAACTCTGCTGAAAGCTACCAAAATCCTTCTGAGTTATAACCTCTTTCAGATTTTTACCGAGCTGACGAGCCATAACTGACAATCAGTCTGGTTAATGGGCCAGAATTTATTTGGACAAAGGACCCACACAGAAAACTACAGAATGTGTAATGCCTTGGTCAAAATCACTCCTCCATCATTCATAAGATCTGGACCTATTGAATCTAAGTCCCCAGGTTCTTTATTAATTGTTTTGTCATATTGAAAGATTGGTGTGTAAACATCTGAATCAAAAGATAATCAACTTGAAATCTTAAATATTTCTAATTCCACAGATGTTGTCAGACCTCCTATATATGTAAACCTTTTTCTGTGATATCTCCAGTGTTTTTGTTCATGCTCGCTGATTAAAATTGATCCATGCGGTTCATATTTTATCTCATAATAAAATGGATCACCACCCAATTTTCTGTAATTATCTTAACAACTAAGTCACTTTGACATGTAGGAAAAGTCTCAAATTTTGTCTGCTCCCCTAACTTTTCTGCATATACTGTTTTCTTATAATTTATGTCCACATCAATTTTCCTGAGTTAGCCATGACTGTACTAGCTGTGATTTTGGAAATATGAGTTGCTACAACTGCTTCTAGTTCCATAGTTTTGTACGTAAGTACTTGTGGGATTTGTATATATTGATATAAGCATATCTAATTTTGGTCATTGCCCCCTTAGCCTCCGTATCTGATTGTCTGCTTTTACTGTCTATGTAATATGATGCTAATGATAATAATGAATTCTGAGCCCTATTCTAATTACTTCCATTATCCTGTTCCTGTGCATAGCCTGGATCCTGCTGTACTCCTATCTTTAACTTAGGTTAAGTAGTTTTGAAAGCTATTTTTACTTCCCTTGTGTCTACCGTGGTTGTGAAATACATTACTCCTGTGCTTAATCTTCTATTTATCAAAGCAACCCTAAAGTATCATGCCATTTAGTTAACAAATTCTTAATGTCCCTATCCATCTCACTCCTATTCCCTACTATTGTCAGTATTGTCAAGAATACTGCCTTTATATTTGTCTTCTTATTTCATTTATCACTGTATAATCACTGCAGGGTGCCATGGTAGTTCAGTGGTTAGTACTGCTGCCTCACAGTACCAGGGACTCAAATTCAATTCCAGCCTTGGGTGACTGTCTGTGTGGAGTTTGCACATTCTCCCCGTGTCTGTGCGGGCTTCCTGCAGGGGCACCAGTTTCCTCCCACAATCCAAAGATGTGTAGGTTAGGTGGATTGGCCATGCTAAACTGCCCATAGTGTCCAGGGAGGTGCAGGCTTGGTGGATTATGTAGGGTTAGAGGTATAGAGTTGGGGAGTGGGTCTGGGTGGGATGCTGCTCAGAGGTTGGTGTGGTGTCAATGGGCTGAATGGCCTGCTTCCAATCTGTAGGGATTCTGTGATAACAATGTATTTTTACCCTACATATGCTTCCTCAATCTTCAAGATGAACAGCTCTGGCTCCATGTAGATTACTCACTTGTCTATATACGTTGCTCATTTTTACATATATATCCATCTAAGCTCAGAGATTCCGTCAACAACGATCTCCTCCCTTTTCCAGCCCACAGATTTTCAAGAAGATGGATCTCCATCAATTTCTCTAGAACAATTCATAGCATATGATCTAAGGATATGGAGGTCTCATACTCCATCAAGCTTGGCATCACTTGAAGCACGGTGTGCTACAAGAAGCATGCTTCTCGATTGCAACCTAATAACAGTGTTAGTCTTGTTACTGTTGTGTCTGTGAATGTAATGTTTGTAGACAATAACTTGTTGTAATAAAAATCTGTCAGATGCTTCAATACTACATTGTCCATTCTCAGTTTCTTATGTTATGATGGATAGCATTAGTATTGTTGCATATGATAAAATTTAGCCTGCAAAAGGCAGAATCACATTACTCCCTACCCCCCTCACACACCTAGCACTAGACTCATTAATTCCCCTCCCATCCACCTGCGAACCTACCCTACACTTACCTTACACACTTATCTTCTGTCAATTACTTTCATGTGGTGACAGGACCTTTAAATCACAGCCCAGAAGGAAAAACTAATACATCTTGCAAATGACACATCTTGATCTGACTTGTCTTGTATACTTCAAAATGGAGCTCTCATATGCAGCATATTTATGTCCATGTATTACTTTACTGTTTCTTTCCGTCTTGGAGGATACAACACTTACTGCTGTGTGATTGTGTGCTGATCTTTCTGCTCCCCTTTTCTATGTTGCGTCTGAAGAGAAGTGTTGTTCAATCAAGAGCAAAAATAGGGTTTCTGATCCTGATTGGCAAATCTGGGTCTGTCCATTGAGCTCAATCATATTACAATCAGTGATATGTAAATGCTTATGTACGGTTAGTAAACTGTTGGAGAAACAATGAGTTAACCATTTATTTCCTCTTAGACCAGACGGGACTCATGTTATTTAAACATTTATTTGTGCATGCATGGGAGATGTACACATGAAGAAAAAGGCATACAGCTCAAATTTTTATTGCCAGAATGGTTTTCTGAAGAAGGGTCCAGACCTGAAATGTCAGCTTTCCTGCCCTTCTGATGCTGCCTGGCCTGCTGTGTTCATCCAGCCCTACACCTTGTTATCTGCGTTCACAACTCTCTGTAATTTCTTGCGGTCTTGGGCAGAGCTGTTGCCATACTATGTTGTAATGCATCTGGATTGGATGCTTTCCATGGTGCATTTATAAAAATTGATGAGTCATTGTGGACATGCAAATTTCCTTAATCTTTTGAGGAAGTGGAGGCGGTGGACTTTCTTGACTGTAGCATCAATGTGGAAGGACCAGGAGAGAGGATTATTATTTGAAATTGCGCTGTAATAAAAAATGACTGTAACCTTTGTTAATATAACAGTTGGTAACAACCAATGATTATGCTATAAGTTGCATTCAATTGGTTCAATGAATTGCAAGATTCCCCTTGTTTTAATTGCTGAATCTCTTCCATGCAGTACGATCGCTATCAGCGCTATGCTGCGGAGGAATGTGTGATACAGATGGGTGGGGTTCTGTGCCCAAGACCAGGTTGTGGAGCTGGCCTTCTTCCAGATGTAGGCCTACGCAGGATTGAGTGTCTGCGACAAAATGGAATAGGCTGCGGGGTAAGATTAAGCACAAAACATTTGCCTTTTCTACTTTTTTCTAATTAAAATGTATCCCAAGGTCAATCGCAGTAAAAATCGAGAAAGAAGTGACACATGCCTTTGCTCCACTGTCATAGTAGCTGGTGAATTTTGGGTCCAAAATATTTATTCTGATGATCCAGTTTCAGAGGTTAAATAGTCAACTATGTAACAGTGAAAGAATGCAGGACACACCCTGTCATTGTCCAAACTCCTAATTTGTGCATTAAAGGGCTGGACTAGAATACATGGTCAAAGGCAGTATAATATGCTGGATAAAATGATTGTCACTCATCACGTTTAATTAAAGGAGATTATTTTTGTTATTAGATAACACTAAAACACCTACAATAAACATTAGACAATGAGAAGGCTCATTTTCCAAAACAGGCCAATTGCACAATTGATGTCAGAGATAGTAAGAACTGCAGATGCTGGAGTCAGAGACAACAGAGTGTGGAGCTGAGGGAACACAGCAGGCCTGGCAGCATCAGAGGAGCAGGAAAGTTGACATTTCGGGTCAGGACCCTTCTTCAGAAATGGGCAGGGGGACGGGAGCTAGAAAACAAATAGAGAGAGGAGGGATGGGGCTGGGGAAGGTAGGTGGAATGGTGATAGATGAGTGCAGGTAGGGAGTGGTCAGTGAGGTAGGAGGGGTGGATACGTGAGAGAAAAGATGGACACGTTGTGTTGAGGTCAAGGAGGCAGGGATGAGAGGGAGCGTTTGACTTGGGATGAGGCTGGGGGTGGGGAGATTTTAAAACTGGTGAATTCCATCTTTAAGCCATCGGACTGTAGGCTCCCAAGGTGGATATTGAGGTTTGCGGGTGGTGTCATTGTGACACTGGAGGAGGCTCAGGATGGACATGTCACCCAGAGAGTGGGAGGGGGGAGTTAAATTGGTTGGTGACCAGAAGGTATTGTCGTTTGTCGTGTACAGAGTGAAGATGCTGTACGAAATTGTCTCCAAGTCTACACTTGGTCTCACCGATGTAGAGGAGACCACATCGGGAGCAGCGGATACAGTAGACCAAGTTGACGGATGTACAGGTGAACCCCTGTCTGATATGGAAGGTTTGTTTCGTGCCTTGAATGGAGGTGAGGGGGGAGGTGTAGGGACAGGTGTAGCACTTCCTGCGGTTGCAGGGAAAGGTGCCAGGTGTGGTGGGGATAGTAGGGAGTGTGGAGCAGACGAGGGAGTTGCGGAGAGAGCGGTCCCTATGATAGGCAGATAGGGGTGGGGAGGGAAATATACCTTTGGTTTTGGGGTCGGATTGCAGGTGGCAGAAGTGATGGAGAATGATATGCCGGATGTGGAGGTTGGTGGTGGTGATACGTGAGGACAAGGGGGATTCTGTCTTTGTTTTGTCAGGGGGAAGGAGTGTGAGGGCAGAAGTGCGGGAAATGCAAGAGATGCAGTTGAGGGCATTTTTGATCACCAGAGGGGGAATATTACGGTTGTTGAAATAGGAGGACGTCTGGGACGTCCAGGAGTGAACGCTCCATCTTGGGAGCAGACACAGCAGAGGCAGAGGAATTGGGAGTAGGGGATCACATTCTTGCAGGAGGGTGGGTGAGAGTAGATGTAGTCCAGGTAGCTGTGGGAGTCAGTGGGCTTGAAATAGATGTCACTTTTGAGGCGGTCACCAGAGATGGAGACGGAGAGGTCCAGGAAAGAGAGGGAGGTATCGGAGATTGTCCACGTGAATTTGAGGTTGGGGTGAAAGGTGTTAGTAAAGTTGATGACCTGTTCAAACTCCTCATGGGAGCACAAGGCAGCGCCGATACAGTCATTGATGTAGCAGAGGAAGAGGTGGGGAATAATGCCATTGTAACAGTGGAAAAGGGACTGTTACACGTATCCTACGAAGAGGCAGGCATAGCTTGGACCTATGCGGGTGCCACGGCCACCCCCTTTAGTACCGGATTTGTGCCAAATTATGTTGTTTCTAACATTTGGGCTGCCCATGAAAACTCATTGGTTTGGCAGCATCAGTGTTCAAAAGCAGATCTACTTTTCAGTCTTCACTCTATCACAATTTTCAAGTTTTCACATTAATTATTTTCTTGGGTTCACTGTCACTGGTGACTACTGTTAAATGGACATCACATTTTCTGCCAACTGTCTCGTTAATGTTAGAAAGGCCTGTTGATTGACATAGAGGGCGCTCACTCCATATCGGCTAATTAGATAAGGCACATGCCACCATATGAAATCCCTCCTCTTGACAGAAAATGAACTGAAGTCAAACTCAGCTGAGGCACAACATTCTCTTGGTTAGCTAAATTATTTCGCATTTTTGTAAGGTATACAGTTATTAGTAGTGTGAGCAATCAGTTTTCTGTCCTCAAAATGACAAATAACAAAATTGCACTTTATTAACTCTCTAATCGTACTATCACATGCTTAAAATAAAACTTAATACTCTGTGAAAGAACAAATTATCTATTCTGGCCTGAGGAGAGTGAACGTCAGAGTGAAAGTGGGGGTGGGGGAACAATCGTCTTTTGAGTCTCTTCCAATAAGTCTGTCTGTAGATAATACCATTTTAATAACATAATTAATCCTTAATACTGCCCAAAGACAAAAGAGGCAATCTTTATTGATGGCTTAAAATATTTATCAGTGATATGGTTGCTTCAGCTAATTAACCCCTAGGTCTGTGTATTGCTTACAGCTGCAGTACTACGCATGAGTTCTCCATTGTATAGTGAAGGTTTGTGGATATTTAGCAACAATTTTAAAGTTTTGAAAGATAGTGATAAGAAGAATGACTGATTTGACAGTTGGTGATCAAAAGACACAGAATTCAACTGCCACAAAAAGAAGACTAGAGGTGAGGAGGTATTTTTTTGAATGCCATGGAATGCTCTGCCTGGTAAACGTAGTGGGAACTCAGACTAAGGTCATGGTATATTAAGAAGCAGTGATCCCTACACTCCGGTATGCTGCAGAAACTTGGACAACCAACAGTAGGCACCTCAAAGTGTGGAATAGCAGGTTGCTGTCAGTCAGACAGTGATGTAGCTGTTGAGATGACTGACAATGTGATCATAATATGGGCAGAACTCAGAGAGAAGAATAAGAGAGATTAAGGGTGAAGCAGCCCTCTGTTACTAGACTGTAGTAATGTATATAGTGTGAATAAATAATTGAAATTATTATCCATTCATACACCCAGATTATTCATATAGTCGGGCAAATAAAGGCAATCAACCAATTCAACACTAATGGAACTAGGACAAACTTGGTCTTAGATTAAGGGAGTGGGCTTCAAATTTGAACAATGTGACCCAGGCATCCACACACTAAAGATGAAACACACCTTGGGCACTACATGCTATGTGACCGTTAAACATTAACCGACAGTGTGGAGTCCAAATCCTGATTTTGACCACACCATACAGCATCAGGAATCAATGCTACTAATGGCTGCAAAACACATGCAATGTATTGTGGCCTGAAACGATTCTCCCTAGTTGCTGAAGTAGCAACCACCTTCCAAGTTCCTATAGCCTGCACATGGTATGAACTTACTATTTAAGCAAGATGAAAGAAAACAGCAGTTGTTCCACATGCAGTGAGACTTAAACTCAGCCTCTTACCTTTGGTGAATCCTGAAAACTACACATTTTCTTCTTGGTAGACCTCTCCATCAATTCCATCAGCTTTGAATTTCCCCACATTTCTACCTAACCCTTCTATCCAAGTCTTCATATCCCCCACTTTCAGCCCCCCAGCAACATTCCCACCAAACTATGTGGACGCGCTCAAGTGAAGCCGTTCTGATATTCCACACATGGTAATTGGCATTGGTATGTCAATTATGGCATTGACTTCCGGTTCCAGAAGTTGTTGCAGTGCATAGGCCTCCTGAGCAGCCGGTAAGAAAATTCAAGGGAACATTGCCCCAGAATTCAGTCCACATGCCAGATACAATGTGACCTGTACCCACATTGAAGCCAGGGTGCTAGTGATTGTCAATAACCCCCTGCTGCATTATCCCTTTCCTTACTATGCAGTATCGTCTCCCCTTTTAGATATTGAGTTGCCCCCGTTCATAATTGCAATCCCCTCTGCATGTTAGCATGCTGCCTTCAATCCCCACAGTTAAGTTGCTCAGTGTACCTCTCACAGTGAAAGTCCTTTGACTTTTACAGCTCCCTACCTGTCTTGCCACCACTATCCGGATGGTTGCATTGGGTCCACAGGTCTGACCATGGGTCACTCCTTAGACTGTTGAGGTATGGGTCCCCGGACTGTGACTACATCAGGACATTTACTGACCGTGCCTGAAGCCCTGGACCAATATCGGAGGCTGCCCTTGACTTATTTATTAGCAATAGCGGGAGGCAATGGCCTAGTGGTATTATCGCTGGACTGTTAAATTAGAGACCCAGATAATGTTCTGGGGACCCGGGTTCGAATCCCGCCATGGCAGCTGGTGGAATTTGAATTCAACAAAATATCTGGAATTAAGAATCTAATAATGACTATGAATCCATTGCTGATTGTCGGAAAAAACCCATCTGGTTCACTAATATCCTTTAGGGAGGAAACTGTCATCATTACCTGGTCTGGCCTGCACGTGACTCCAGACCCACAGCAATGTGGTTGACTCTGAACTGCCCTCTGGGCAATTAAGGATGGGCAATAAATGTTACCTAGCCAGCGATGCCCTCATCCCATTAATGAATAAAAAAAATAATAGCATGGCTTTGTGCGTGGCAGCCAAGTCTCACAAACTTGATTGAGTTTCTTGAGGAATTGACAAAGATGATGGATGAGGGCAGGGCAGTAGGTGTTATCTACATGGGCTTTAGCAAGACCTTTGACAAGGTCCCTTATGGAAGGCTGATGCAGAAGGTGAACTAACATGGGGTCCGCAGCAAGCTGGTAAAATGGATACAGAACTGGCTCAGTCATAGAAAACAGAGAGTAGCAGTGAAAGGGTCTTTTTCTGACTAGAAATCTGTGA